CCCTCGGGCCTGGGGAGAGCCTGCGGGGGCCGTGCTCTGTCCTCCTGTGTTCCAAGGACGAGGAGGAGGAGGAAGAGGAGGTGGCCAGTGGGAAATCCTCCGTCCCCGGGAGAGCGTGGGCGCTCATCTGTAGCCTGTTACTCTGCAGATCTGATTTCACAAGCCAAGCCCCCAGGTTTCCACCCACTGCCCCAAATGAGGTCTTCAGAGCCCGCGTAGTAGGGGAACGTATTGTGACAGACCAAGTAACCGCCTCAGCCTGGGAGCAAGGGGCAGCATTTGCTAAGATGCCAAAGGTGGTGCCGGCAGTGTCGAGAAGGACACATGCGCCAATGGAGGAACTGTGGGGGCTGAGCAGCTCCTGGGTTTTTCTTATGTCTCCATAGCTCTGCCTGTCCTGGTCCTCAGTACCCACGTCCCTACCCCAAATACATACACGAATGAGTCATTCACAAAGAAAGACCAGAAGGGAGACCGAAGCTGGGGGCCAGCATTCTGCATGTCAGCGCTGAGTCCAAGATGGTGTGACCCTGGCCAGGGACGTGGGTGCCACGAGCCCTCCTTCTGAGACATCCTGGAATAAGTGTCCCCCGGCTGGGAAAGCAAATAAGAAGCTTTCCAAGGTGAAAGCTGTTGGTAACTTTCAAGAAACATTGTCTTTTGGTTTCCATTTATTGCTCTATCAGAGGTATTAAAAAATCTCTGGCTAAGGAGAAAAAAAAAATAGATACCAATATAGCGAAATCATACAGGGGCTAAAATTGAAAAGGGGCTGTGTGCGTAAAATAAAGAAACCACGGAAGAAGGTTTAAATGTTTATTTTCATGTTAAAAATGATGAGTTACCCTGTGGTTAGAATATACTTTATGCTGGGAAATGTAGTCACTTTATTTCTGAGGAGTTTCGGGGGGGGGGGGGGAGAGGAAAAAAAAATCCAAAAGTAATGAAGCGTAAGATCAAAATATTCTGGCAGATTCCATCAGTGATGCCGCCAATGAGCCGAGCCCTGTCCAGGCCGCGTTCCTACCCGGTGTTTCCCCTACCATGGGTTCAGATATTTCGGAGTGGGAGGGCTGTACATTTAAAAGCTACAGTGTTGCATGCTTCTGCTGTAAAATGTATCTATTCCAGCACACTTCTCGGTGAGTCATATTGTGTATCTCACATACAAAAATATCTGCCAGCCGCGTCCTCCCGTAACCTCCACCACCCGGCCTGTCCCTCCACATCACAGGGGATACGCAGTACATCACACGTCTAGAATTTCGATGGAGGAGAGGGTTGCTGGGTCTATAAACTATCGTGTCACTTACAGAGACGAGGATGGAGAGTTGAAGCCGTTTTTGAGATGATTCGAGAAAAGACAATGGTCCCAGAGACGCGTAGGAAGCAGGTGCAATCGCTCTGTGTGGTCGTTGACGGTGGGTTGGTTGGTTCTCTGACACAGAGCCTCGACCGGGCCCAGCACCCCAAGCTTGGGAGGGTGCCTTTCCAAATTGCTGAAGAAAGGGTGCAAAGGCTCAAAATACACAGAGGCCGACTTCCTAAAACTTAGAAATGAACAGTGTACAAAGTGCTCGTCTACGGATGGGGCAAATGGGACAAGAAGTAATCTATGTTCTCCCTGCGCTAACGTGTACACACGCACACCCTCTGCCTGGAGTTGAAGTCTGGGAGCTGACCCTGGCCAGGGTGCGACACAGAAGAGCCGGGGGGTCAGTCAGTCCTCTGTCGGTGCACACTGTCAGCCAGAGGCTTGCCGGGGGCGCTCCTCTGGGACACTGGCAGGCTCTTCTGGCTTTCCCGCAGAGGCGACACGGTGCATTTAAGCTTCACTTCCGTCGTGTGGCGGCTGCTCCTGGATCCCAGGGCGCGGCCCGGGAGGCCGTACATCTGGCGGCTGGGAACACTGGTCTCACACATAGCCCCCTTCTAGGTGGCCTGGTCCCCGTGGGCGTCTGAGCCATCTTCCATGGGACCCGCACAGCTCCCAGCCTGCGGCTCCCGAGGAGGCTGGCTGGCACTGGCCTGGGGGGCAGGGGGAGAGGAAGGGGACTGATCCCTGTTGTTCTAAGGTGACAAATCACACTGATCAATGGGCTATTCCGGCTGTGAGAAACCTGGAAACTCCAGGTGCGTGCAGGCCCCCAGGGAATGGATTTCAAGGTTTCCTAAGTGACATCTTTTCCCCGTTCTAGTTTAGATATTGAAGGGCGTAGTTCCTATTCGTTTTAAGTGATCTGGTTGGAAAACAAGCAATCTTCCTTGACTATTGGTGAGCGGGAAACATTTAGGACAGAAAGAACCTCACCGAAATCCTGGGGAGCTGGGACAGCGCCCACAGCAAGTCGGGGAGCAGCCCACAGTGCCGTTCTACTAAATACTGTATTCTCTGTTCACACACGTGCACACGCGTGTGCATCCAAGTGAGTGTGTAGCCCTGGGTAAAAGGGACCCCTGCCCCCGCCCAGGACCTTCCACATGACTCTCAAGGTGAAGTGAATTTGAACGGCCGCCGGCAGAGGGTACAGAGCCCAGATCACGCCCCGGGGGGACTCCTGCTCACCCCCGGGAGGCATCTTCAGGGCAGCGGTCAGTTTCCCGGCGCCGAGAACGCGCTGGCACGTTCCCGCTTCTGACGCTGCCAGGTGTGCACTCTGTCTGCAGCAAGTGCTCCGACCCCAGGAAAGGCTCTGATGCGCAAGCTTCTCAGTAACGCTCCCTTGTCCCTTCCCAGATCACCCGCCCTCGGCCACCCAGGGCCTCATTGTAGCAGCGGGGGCGGCCTGCCGAGCATGCGTGGGGGCACACACGCGTGTGTGCGCACGTGAGACTCATCCCCTCTATCCGCCGCGCTCCCTCCGCTTCAGACACGGAGTTCCCGTTATTTCGGAATGCTGACGATCCAAAGGGAGAGAACGTGGAGAACGTGGCACAGTGAGCAGGCCTAGTTTGGAGAGCTACGTGGCATTAGCGTGAGAATTCCCTGGTGCCCTCCGTGGGGGGCCCCGAGCTCCCTCCGCACCCAACCCTCGGTGAGCGGCCCAGCCTCCTCTGGGGGCTTCAGCCTTTTCTCTGCAAACTCGCTCCGAAGCCAACGCCTGGGTCTCCTGGCTTCTTGCATCCATCGGATCGGAAGATTCTGGAAACTTCACCGGCTTCAGCCCTTAGCCCCCATTGGAAACACAAGATCGGCTGGACACGGGCCTCTAGAGATCAGGCCCACAGCGCTGCTGATCTCCGCCCTGCCCCGTGGGCAAGAGACACAGGCAGGACGCTGTGGCCGCCGCGTGGTGCGCGAGGAGGCAGGGTCGGCGTGCTCCTGGGCGCACCGAGAGCTACAGGACACCCTAGAGCCTCTTGTTCCGATGGCTCACTCCTCCGCCGCCGCATGGAGTCAACCAGCCGCTTCCTTGCCCCTCCGGCGGGTCTTCGCGACTCTGGCCTTTACTGGTCCAGGCCTCAGCCATGCAGATGGCCAGGGAAAGCCCAGAATAAGTGGGCCAGCCCCCGCGCCCGTCTTCCCAGCTATGCCTGGGCATACAATGTTGCTCTGCTCTGCTAATCTGAAATTCTTGCTCAGCTTGGAACCCTTCCTGCTCTTCTTTGAAAGACATTTTTTTAATTTGTGAATTATGCAGGGGGGTCAGGCTTTTTTTTTTTTTTTCCCCTGTTGCCACTCTGACTTTCCAACAGCTAGGGTGTTTCTACCTACCTGCTTCTGAAGCTCTCCAACAGTCGTTTACTTTATGAAACTTGGAAGCTGACCCCTTCCTTTCTCCATCAGTGCCCACCCTGCGCAGGCTTGAGCCCTGCTGGAGCCATGACTGATGATTTTGGGGCGGGGGGGTCATTATATGGATGGATCTCTACATATTGCTAAGTTGAAACATCATTCTACTTACTTGCATTTTTTTTCTTTCTTTCTTTCTTTCTTTCTTTTGTTTTTTTTTTGCTCTGGTAAAACAGAAGTGTAACCTGAACATTGTTTCCTACACAATTTCCTTTCTGTGTCATAGTAATTTAAAATTTTGATTTCAGCTTGGAAAACAAATTGTGTTGACCGGAAAGCACCAGTATAAATACGACTCTCAGGGTCTTTCTGCCCTCAGAAATACACTCCAGGAGTCCCCCACGAATGTCCCACAAGCAGAAGATAAAAACAAATGCGGTTGACAAGTGGTCACCAAAGTTTGTAAGCGTCGTATAGAAAACTGTAAAGATGGCCCTCCCTCGCAGTATATTAATATTTTATGTAAAATCCCGTGTCCCAGTCTGATATACAAGGACGTTCCACAACAAAGAGAAGGGAGGACAGCGTGAGGATAAGCTTCTCAGACGTTGCCCCTTCAGTAAGGGAAGTGGGCAACGGAGAGCACCTGACGTCCGGCCCAGACGTGGCGAACGTCGGCGACTAAAACTCATGTGAAAATCAAACGTCTCCAAGAGAGGAGACCATGATTGCTTTTCTTCATGTTTCAAAAAGAATTCCAGAGGCCAAAGGAACCAGGTGCAGGTGCAAATGTGTATAAAAATAATGAGCAGCCTTGTAACAAATAAGGGCGGCTACATTCAGCATCTTTCATGAACGTCCAATCTCAGGCCAAGGGCAAGGAGTGTCCACTGTGCTTTAAAAGTTCTAGGAGTAGAAAAATCAACACCCGAGCCTTTTCGAATCCCACACGGCCGTTTGTCGCGAGATGACTAACAATGTCTGTGGGGCCAGGTTTCGTGTGTTTGAACCGAGCTAGGAGCAGGCAGACACAACTGTCGTCTCAGAATTTCTCCAGGAGCTCCAGGTGGCTGCTTTCGAGACACTTCCCGGCTTACAACCCAGCTGCTGTTACTCTCCGGGCCTCTGACACCAGCTCAGAAAGGGATCCCCTCCCCCCAGACCGCCCCAAACGAAGCTTTGTTAAATCACCCCCTATTGCTGAACAAACTCGCTGCTCCACCGTTCCAAAAACAGAAGGCATAGAGGTGAATACAAACGTAAGAAAGGAGCTCACATGGGGTCCTGCAGCCTTTCCATGTAGTCTCTGAGGTCCCGGGGGCCCCCCAGCCCTGTGTCCTGACACACCCACTTGATGTTGTCCTCACTGTCAAACAGGATGGAGTTGGTGTATGGGCCGCCGTCCTCCGGGAGGATGGTGGTGTAGGACGTAAACTTGACTCGCTTCCGCTTTGGACCCGATGGATTCAGAGGCTCACTTTTCAGGTCCTTCTCATAGACATAGTCAGAGGGCCTGAGCAGTTGGCTGTGGAAGGTCTTCTGGGAACCGCCGTTGAGAAGGAAGTTCCTCTCCTCGAACTGCAGCCCCCTGTCTATCATGGTCGTGCACTCCTCCGATGGGAGGGTGATGTCCACAGGGTTCTCCAGAAGTTCCACCTCATTCCCAAGCCAGACCCAGTCATGGGAATGGGGGATGTTGCCTTGCTCGCTCACGGCGAATCTTTTGTGTCTGTATTTCCAAGCAAATGCCACACAGTTGATCAAGAAGACCAAAATGGCCAGGCAGAAGACACAGAGCAGAGCGTACATGCCGATCTCCAAGTCAGTCAACCCCCTTGAGGTCACTGTCAGGTCACTGGGATTATTGGGTTCCGGTAATTTCCCTTGAGTGGGGAAGCTTGTGAAGGCGTCTGCGCCACCACTCTTGAGTGACTTCTTATCCTTTCCTTCCTGGGGAGACCACGGGGTTGTGCTTTTGTTGCTACGCTCCTCGTGGCCAACAGAGGCGCCATGTTGGAACCACTCCTGACCTGCTCTCTCCTGGTTGCCTTCACGGTCTATGGAATTACTGAGGTGGTCTTTGTATTCCCGACTGATGCCCTCAATGTCGTTGGTGCCTCCTTGGTGCTCATCAATGTTTGGTTGAAATCTGACCTTGACATTTCCTTTACCCACGGCAAGAACGCTCTTCCTCTTGGTCTTCTGACAGGGCTCACTAATCATCATTTCTAGTTTAATCAAGGGCCCTTGCCCTTCACCCTGTGCGACCACCACTGGCCATCTGGACTGAAGATTTGCCTGGACAGACACCACCATTTCATCCAATGATGACACAGTAACTGAAAAATCCTTGGGGTCATAAATGTCTAAGGGAGTCACCGAACCATCACTGAACAAAATCCAAGAACTGACTATTGCTTCCTAAGAAAAATGAAACCAAAGCATTATGTTATGATCAGTTTCCTTCAAATTGCAAACAAATACAATTTCCTATAGAATATTATTTAAATATAGAGACTGAGAAAAGTAAACTTCTATGTCTTATGATCTTGACTGGTTCTTGGCATGTCTTGAACCGGCATCCAGAATGTACGACTGCCCCACTGACATGAGGAGCAAAGGATGATACACTTTAAGGAATGCATTAAAGTGCGTATTAATTTATTGCGTGCCAGACAACAGAAGGTGACTCTGACCTTTCTAAAAAACACTTTGAAAGATCAGGCCATTGATCTGAATCAAGATCAGGTTCATCAGGGCTACTGCTCCAGATAATATCATTTTGAATACCCTTTATTAGGAAGCCAGTGCCGAGGAAATGAAACACGCACCGGCAGAGGGGCCAGGGACATGATGCCTTAGGAGACGAGCTCACCAGAAAGGCACTGTGCCCAGGTGCCTTGATGAACCTCGTTGCGAGGTAAAAGACAGAGGAGAGCTTTAGAGTCGGCAATGATTGTAAACAGTAGCGATTGGCTGCCCATCAGCCATGCTTGCTTGAGCAGCTGAAATGGAATTTCCAGGTATCAAAAAACACCTGCTTCGGCAGAATGACAGTATGGGATTCTTTGGTCATGGTATAGCAGGGTGTGCGGAGCACAGATAAGGCTGTGGTAAAGTAAACGGTATATAGACCTGTGGTCGGTGGATAAGAGCAAACCGAGCCACATGTATCTAAGTCCCTGGTATTTTTCTCAAGAAGAGACAGGGTGACCCTGACCAGAAACACAAAGAAGCTTCAAGGGCCTCCCGTCCTAGCTACGAGTGGTGCTCCACTAATCTCCGCAGACGTGAGAGGGAGGTGATCTCAAATGACCCGGACTCAAGGATTCTGGAATCCCACCTGCTGCGGGGCCTGGAGAACGTCCTGGGCCGACACCGCCGAGACGATGGCTCTCTTGTCCGCTCTGTGAGGCTGCAGGGCAAGGGACAAGCCGGCCACCAGCTGCACGCCCAGGTCTGCGATGGTGACGCGGTCATCCAGCACGATCACCGTCTTCTCGGCCAGGATGGAGTCGGACAGCGGCGAGAGCACCTTCGAAGGAAGCGAGAAAGCTCTAGGGTCTGCCGCACACAAGGGTCAGGACCGCCTGACATTTCCACCAGCGTGTTCCCTCAGCTCTCTGCTGGAGGAGGGCACCTGTGGGGACCGTGTGGGCCCACAGTATGCTGCAGGTCACTGACACACTTGCCAACGGGAGGAGTATGACAAGTACTGGTCCATTGCCTTTCCTCTGGTTCAGGCCACAAGAATACTAATGTATTTCCCAAGAAGAGCGCAATTTAACTGCGAGGCAATACCTAGATGGCCCGCCTTGGCCCCAGGCACTCAGATAGCGACGACGTTTCCCAGACACTAACAGTTAGAGGTGGAAATGGCAAAATTGTGGGAAAGCGCCTACAGGGCACAGGGCTCTGCCACCTTCTCCTGCAGCCATCCTTCCAGGGGGCAGTGAGCCGTTCCCCACGGACAACAGTGATCACGGTGTGGGCTGCTGTGTCACCGCTGGAGAGACCATGTAAGCAAAGTGGGAGAGGGATTTTTAAGGTCCTAAGAAGCCACTGCTTCTAATTGAACATCTAGTTTGCAACTAGGGGGAGTAACAAACAGAGAGGAACATCTAGTCGGCAGAATTTCTAGAACTACCCCCACCCCCAAGATGTCCTCACTAATCTCTCAAGCCTGGGAACGTGATGATGAGAAATCACTCTTGTGATGATGTTACGTTCACACAGCAGGTCTGCCTTATCACAGAGCTTATCCTGGATTCTCCGGGTGGGTCCAGTGGCGTCCCGTGAAGCCTATAAAAGCAGAGCCTTCCCCGGCTGGTGGCGGAAGGGAAAGTCACAGAAATTCCACGTGGGAGAGGGACTTGACCCAGCCGTTACATGAGAAGTGACACAGGTGTCCTCTCGGAGCAGTGACTGAACCTAGCGGACAATCCATGAGGAAGACTGCCCAGTCCCAGGCCCCGTCCCAGGCCCGCAAGGAAGTGCGTGGTGCCAACAGCCTGAATGAGCTGGGGAGGGAATCTCTCCCTGAGGCCCCCCCGTGAGCCCTGCCTGGCCGCCACCTTTGTCTCAGTCTTGTGATGCCCCCAGTGTGGAAGCCGGCCCCGCTTGTGTCGACTCCTGACCTAGAGACCGGAGTCAATAAATTGATTCTGCTTTCCGCTGCTCAGTTTGTGATAATGTGCTCCACGGAAGAGAGAAGTCATGCAAAATAGGGCATGTTTAGTCCAGTGCCATCAAAATCAGCTTTGGCACCACCTAAAATAGGTGTTAACCATCAGTGGCAACGCCTTAAATTTTTTACTAAAGAACATGCTGCTGTCTTTCTGCCTAATTATTCCATTAAAACTGACCAGAGAAATCGTTTTACCATTATTCTAATAAAATACAGAGCATGTATCTGTGGATTTAAAAGTTATTTTTAGTACAAATATAGGCTATTTAAAAAAATTTTCTGTCCACTGTCCGAAGTGTAATATATAGGTAAGTGGTTAACCCTCAGGGCTGGGAAAACAAAACCAGCCCCCTCAGGCTGGACCAGCTTCTATCAGTGATGTGTGAGGAGTCAGTTATCATGCGGTAAAGGTCGGTTCTGCGGAGCATTTAATTTAGCTTTCACTGATGAAAGAAGTTAGGTCCTATTTTTCCACAACCCTCCCCCATATGCAAACATTGATTTACATTCGATTATTAACATCAGTGAATTCTCTTTGCGCTGCCTTCGAGTCTCTTGTGTGCACACGCTGCGCTCGCGTCCACACACCCACCCACTCGTTGGGGCAGGCCGGGGCAGGGTGTCGCCACGTACCTGCACGGTGGTTATGCCCGGCTCCCGGCCCACCAGGGTCCTGCCTCCTTGGAGCTGCGCGATCCTGGGCTCCTCCACCTTCATGAACTCGGCCACGAGGTCGGTGATGTCCAGCTGCCAGTCGGGGCCCAGCATGTAGCTCAGCTGGCCCACGTCGGGCGCCTCAGCCACGAACTGGGTGAGGACGCGCACCGTGGCGTGCTGGTACTGCAGGGAGCACCCCTTGCCCCTCTTCTCGTCGTCCTCCTCGTCCTCGCTCTCTCGGGTGGGCCTGGGGCACAAACAAACCGGGTTGAACGCGGTGGCTGCTGAGGGGCTCGGCACACTAGTCTTCCAGATTGCACGGGACCCTACGGAATCCGCGACATGGTTTTTCTCCCACTGTCCCCTGTGTGCGCGCTGCCACCTGCTCGAAGCACAGAAGGCAGCGCCACCCCTGCCTTCAGGACCCAGCGCTGCAGGACACGCCACCCCACGCAGGCAGAAGCAGCCTCCCGTCCTGTGCTCTGGAAGTCTGCGGTTTGAAACTGTCCCACTGCGGAGGCCATGAGGTCCCAGGTGGGAAGAGCTGCTGGGACCAGTTTCTACTCCTCCAGCCTGGGCACTCTCCCCCCCCGGGGAATGACCCCTGAGACCCCCGCCCGTCTGCTCCCTCCAGGTGTGCATGACGGTCACCTTGGTCAAGGTGTAATCAGGAGAAGCCGGCCCCCGGGGGACGGCAAGATCGTTGTGATCCACTGGGGTGTGACAGTTTGGCACTGGCTCTGGGCTGGCTGAGGTCCTCTGCTCCGGACTGTCAGCGTGGCTTCCCCGAGCCCTCAGAGGTGGTGGGGGGGGGGGGTTCCCACCTCCCACCCCCAACCCTGCAGTGCTCAGCATAGAGTAGCTATGGGGTCCTGCAGGAATCAGGAACACCCTGGCCTGTGGGTCCTCGCCTGCCTCTGCCCTCCTCCCGCGGGCCCCAGACCCTCCTCCCGCCACCCTGTGCACAGCCCACCAGAGAAATCCTCGTTTGCTTCACTATTCCAGAAACTTCCACTCCAGATGAACCTGTCCCATGTGCTTTGGGAGAGGACCTTGTTTGGTGACCAGTCGGCGACCATCGGGGGACAGGGTGGTGTCAGAAGCAACAGTGGGAGGGATTCACACGCAGTGAGTCACACCTTCTATGTGCTGGGTCTGGATGGACGCGCTCACGTGACCATGAGAGCTGACACAGACGGACCGACACACCCACGTGACTCCTTTAATCTCCACCCCAGAGAGGGAGGGTGTTTCATTATCCTGATCTTACAGTGGGGAAACTGAGGCATGGAGAGGAGAGGCCATTTGGTCTGGACACACAGCTAGCCATCTAGAAGCGGGATCCACGCCCAGGCTGCCATGCCCCTCTGTTCCCTCTTCCTCTTTATAGCGAACTCTGTCCATCTCCAAAACGGCCCCCAAACTCGTTTCTATTTCCCCACGAAGACGCTGAGGCCCGGAGTGGTTGGTACGTGGTCTACACAGCCACAGAACAGTGAATTTACAGACTTCCATGTGACTTCTGAACCCACTTTCTTTAAAAGAGATCCTTCCGCCTTCCTGCAAGGCTCCATTGGGAAAATAATAGGAAAACTTTTCACCAACACCCATAAAGGAGCATCCTGGGTTTCCCAGAGTCAGGGGCGAGTATCTCTTCGGGCAAGGTGAGATGATTTTTTGTGGCAAAGGGACAAAGAATCAAAACCTTGGAATGACATTTGGAAAAGTTATTCCCAGTTTACTTTCAGTCCTTTTGATTACACCACAGGGGATGAAGGTCTCTGGCACGGGGCGGGGGTTGGGAGGGCTCTGACGCTTATCCCACACCTGCTAGTCAACCTACGAGAAACCATCTCACACGGACAAACAGCAGTATCTACACAGAATGTAACACTGACACTTTCTTTTCTTCGTGTTAACTTTTACCAGCTGGCCAGTTTTGACAGCGAGGTCAAATGTCCCTTAAATAAATGAATAACACTGAAAAGAAAGCAATATTAAGACTATATTATGGGGGGGGCAGTATCATAAATGTGGTGAGTGAATACATGAAGTCCTAGAAATACCATATTAATGAAATGGTCCTGTTCTTTTAGGACAGCATTCTATTATTAAAAAAATCAAACAAACAAACAAAAAAACACCAAACTTTAAATTTTGAATTAATTAGAAATTATCAGTAAGTTAGAAAACCACACACAGGGAGGTCCCCTATACTCTGCACCACTCCTAGAGTTAACGTCTCCCATAATCGCCGTCCAATGCCAGGATCCAGAAACGGACGCTGGTACAGACCCTGAGTATAACAAATTTCAGCAGTTCAACTGGGACACCTGTGTGTGTATGCGTGTGTGCACGTGTGTGTGTGTTTCTATGCAATTCGGTCACCTGAGGATTCATGCAACCATCATGACAGTCAAGACACAGAACTTGTCTGTCCCCATGGGGGAGCCGGGGGCTCCTTCCCGAACCCATGGCGACCACCAGTCTGTTGCCCATTTTCCGCATCTTTGTAAAAGGGGCCATACAGGATGTAAGCTCGGAAAGTGCCGGCAATGGTGTGGAGTCACTCAGTGACTCATCCGTCGTTGCTGCGGGTGTGAAACAGGACAGGCTCTCTGGAGAACAGCTCGGGAGCTTCTTTTGAAACTAACTATGCCCCATTCATACAACCCAACAATTATGGTCTTGGGCACTTTCCCCAGAAGAAACGTGTGCACACGGAAACTTGTCCAGGAGTGTCGCAGCAGCTCTGTCCGTGAGAGGGCCTGGCTGGACACAGCAGGGGCACCCCCTCCCCCACGGACAGCTGATTCATCATGCAGAGAGAGGAAAAACCATGGATTACCACTCAGCGCTACGGTTACGGGAATTCTCCATATAGCCAAGAACAGCGGCGGATTCGGGGGATTTATGCTGGATAAAAACACGTCCATTTTAAAAGGTTACGCGCTATGCAGTACCGGCCACGAGCTAGACAAAACTCTGTTTTCAAGGGGTCAAGTGATGGGTCAGGCCCACCTGGATAATCCCCACATCTTAAGGCTGGTGGATTTAGAATTTTAATTACTCCCGTAAAATCCACTCCCAGAAGCACCAGATCAGGGTTTGAGTGAATAACCAGGAGATGGGAACCCTGCTGGGTGTCGTCTTTAGAATTCTGTCTGGTCCACAGTGTGTCACTTCAGACTCAGGACAACTCCCTTCAGTAAGAGCATCATCTCCATTGCTAGATGAGCAACAGAGAGGTTCATCAGCGGGCCCAGGGTCACACAGCTCTACGTGGGGAAGCTGGAGTAAAAACTCAGTGGCTTCATTCTAGATCCCGCAACTTCGCCACCACACCACGCTCCGTGGATTTAGGCTGGCACCTACGAGCAGGGACCTGAGAATGAATAACAGGGAGGAACAATGGGGAAATAGGGACTAAAAAAAATAACTATACCCCACACTAGGTGCTTCTTAGCAGTGCAACATGACCCTGAATTCCAGTAGCTACTCCCTGAGAAGGACACGACTCACAGCTCTGGGACGATTTCCTCGTCAGAAGCCTAATGAGTCCCCAAGTCAGATCCTTCGGAACCCCAGACCCACACCACTGTGCCTGTGGCAGATGCTGCCTCCCTGGGTCCTGGGCCCCTAAGGGCCGTCTGCCTCCCCCTGTGCTCCGGGTCCCAGGGGCCTGAGACCACCCCCCCAAGCTCCTCACCTCCTATTGGAGGCCACAGGGATCCTCCAGCCCTTGATCTGGCTCAGCTCCGTGTCTGAGATCTCAATCTGCAGGGGGAGTCTAGGCACCCAGACGGTGACCTCGAGCTGGGAGGTGAAGTGCTGGTGCGTGAAGTTCACGGTCGTGTCCACTTTGCTCTTCATTTCCTTCCCGTTCACAAAAATGGAGTCGCAGTGGTTGGAGACCTTCGGGAGAAGCAGAGTCCCGAGACGCATCAGCAGGAAAATGCGGGACACGGGGAGCAGTGAAAGTTCGTGAACTCTGATTTATTAGACACCAAGACAACCAGAAGAACATGACTCGAACAGAAGGTAATTTGTAGGCACTAATTAGTGACAAATACTGATAAATAGATTCCAGGAAAACCATTCCGTATTACGAAATACTGACAAGCAAAACCATAAACATAATTTAATGGAGTTCTATAACCTTTGTTGCCTCTTTTGTGTGTTTTTCTCTTTACTTCACCTTTTTTATGTGCTCAAACCAACACTAATCAAACCCCAGGTGCAACATATTTTCCTCCCACACCATATTTGAGGATGCCTAGAAGGTAGCCATATGTTGCTAAAAACAAAACAAAACAAAAAAAAAACACAAAAACCCACATTATTCAAGCCATAAGGAGGATCTTTTCTGAAAAACCAAGGAAGCTCTGCACTAGATTCACATCTTTGTCAGAAAATACTCGGGAAGTGTGGGAATGATTACTGGTGCCCCATTAAACTGGATCACTGAGGGAAGCTGCTGTCACGGGGTTTGGCTCCGCACTCGGGGGCTGCCCCGTCAACGCCTGTGTCCGCCGGCTCCTCGTCACACAATTCCAGCCTCCATCTCGCGTCACCCCTTCCGGATAAACCAGTAAAATGTGGGTGGCGTCTCTCCAGGGCCATCAGGAAAGCATCGTTTAGGTTCGGAGGTAGGGAGGGCGGAGGGGGCGAGCGTCACTTCCAGCGCAGGGGATGCACCAACCTACAGTTTGTCACAGAGTCACGACTGCAAGGGGCCCATGATGTGACCAAACTGGCTGAGGTCACCCGCTGCTTTTTGGGGTGCAAGCCAAAAACGAGGACGTACTCTTGACCCTCTCTTCCTCACCGGGGTTGGTACCCACAGCCCAGGCCTCCCCTGCGAGCTCCAGATGCTCAGGTCCAGAGCAAGGTCAGAAGCGTCAACTTCCAAACTCCAAGAGCCAACCTCCTTATTGTTTGAGATAAATTCTCATCACCACCCGCCCCGGCACTCACCCCAAGAAAAAGAGTCCTCGGGCATGAATGTGCCCCCAGAAGGAGAAGGAAGAGATGCACCCAGTTCAATTAGAGGGAAATTGAGGACCAGGAGGGGCATGAGCAACCAGCTGCTGAGCCCTCCCCCGTGCCTGGCCACGTCCACCTGCCATGTCCCCATGTCCTCAGACCCCTTTAGAACTGACCAAGGTACTAATGGGAACATGGGCTGAAATCCCAGTGACAGTGACTGGGTAACCCCGGGCTCAGGGAGATGGAGGGCGACAGTGCGGGCTAGCTCCACACGTGGGGACCCCTCCCATCCTGCAAGGAGGACTGAGCCCTCCAGTGACAGGGAGAAGAAACACAAGGAACCAAGCAAATCAGCTGTCTTCCGGGGCATGCCCGAGGGACCCAAATCTCCATGATTGTGCCCAGGCTTGTGAAGAGAGCAATCCGAACAAGATCTTGGATTGGAGCAGAAACAGAACAGAGGAGCATGTCCTTATTGTAGAGCCCCGTGATGCCGACACGGTGGCCGGCCCCGATGCCCTTCCTTTGGATACTCGGAAACGGCTGGGAGCCCAGCAGGAGCACTCAGTGGGACACAGACACCCAGACCCCTGACTGCCACTGGGCGACCCCCCTCAAGAGAACAGGTCCCCTCACCGATGGCAGTGCTGCCTTCTCCGGGGATCAGCTGGTTGGCACCGGCCCTAGAACGCTCCCGATCCCACCTCCTACAGTACAGACCTTGACTCTCCTGCATTTGTGGAAAATCCTGGTTTCTCCTTGTCCATCGCTACCCACCCACCCACACTCCCACTTCAAAGCACCTCGAAACACGTCCCACCAGCAGGAACACACCTGTTTTGGAAACCGCGGGGCCCTTTCTGTGCATAGGAAATTTCAGAGCCTATGCAGTCCAAAACCCGCCTCATCTTTCAGGCGATGAGGGATGGCCGGAGTGGAAAAACTTAAATTAAGAAGGTAACAAAGTCAGAGGCCTTAGGAATTCATTCGATTGCTTTCTCCGGGGACATGCGTGTCCTTGGAAGACAGTATGTGTTGCCATCCTTAATGAATCTGATTAAAACAGCTCAGATGAGGTGAGTCCTGTTGTATGCCAAGCCCCGAGTGGCACCACACTGCACACAACTTATATCAGCTTTATGGACTGTACCTTTGTGTCCTCCCGAAATTTACATGTTGAAACCCTCATCCCCAATATGATGTCTGAAGATGGGGCTTTGAAGGGCAGTAGGGTCAGAAGCGTGGAGCCCGAGTGGTGGGGTCAGTGCCCCTAGAGGAAGAGACCCGGGAGCCTACTTCCTGCCTCCACTCAACCTCGTGAGAATAGGACCAGAAAACGTGGTCTGTAAACCCGGGGGGAGGGAGGCTCTCCCCAAACACCCACACTCTGGTCACACTTCCCCACTTCCAGAACCACAGGGAATAAATGTTTCCTGTTTGTGGACTCCATGTTCCCAAGTCTATCTACTCGCCACTATTGCTCTCAGAGGATGTAGAGCTGTGAACTTTGAGTCCCCCCCCCCCCCCCCCCCCCCCCTCCCCCGCACATGCTCCCAGCCAAGGTCAGATGCGCTGAGGCTCCGCCCTCCTGTGCCAGCCCTCCTCCGGAGACGACCGGAGGATGGACATCTGCCGGAGTGGGGCAGGGAGAGTGTGCGGAGCTCCTGGGCAGGGGCCAGCAGGATCGGGTTGGAATCCCAGCCCCAGCACGGGGTCATGGGGCGGTGCCAGGCGATCCGCTTCACACTTCCCAACCTCATTCCCTCTTTCGTAAAATAGAGAGACTCTCCCGGATGAGTTGATTTTGGGATTTCAGCTTATGGGCTACGTGTGCGTGTGTGTTTCCTCCCGAAGGTTCAGTATTGGTTAGTTCAGTGTCTGCAGTGACTTTAGGGAACACAGTGTCTGCAAATAATGAGGACGAAGACAGTAGGCACCTCCCATTTGGACGGACCTCAGTGCCTGCAGCCCTCTCCTCCCACGCACAGTCCCCACAAAATCTCTGCGAGGTGGGCGTCACGATCCTCACTGCCCCTGCTTCGAATCCGGGGTAGAAGAGAGAGTGCCTCTTGCCCCAGGCTTTGGGGGTGTGGGCAACGATGTGAGCCCTTGGCCCCCAGGACCGCTGGCCCCTGGCCCCGTCCTCCCTCCTCCTCCTCCTGCTCCCGTCAGGCCTCTCCAGCAACTTCCTGTCCACACCGGGTAAAACCCAGACTCTCGATGATGGTGTACAGGACTGATGACCTGGACCTCCTCCTCCTCCAGCCTGGCCTTGCCCAACACCCCGTCCCCAGCACAGCCTCCCTGCCAGGGCTCCTCCTTCTCGCCCTGGACCTCCCCTGGGCTCATGCCCCTCCCGAGGCCCTTCCAGGACCCACCTGTGCCGAGATCTGCTTGTTGTCCAGGTCTGCAGAAACATGAACCGGGTGTCTGCTGGCCGTCCAAACACACACCTGCACTTCGACCCCAGCACGCACACACCTTCCTCATTCCCAACAGGACTACAATTTTACTCGAAAACACAGGGCCCCCCATCCATCATGGGCCCCGCCAAGCCCATCAGGCTACCCCACTCTCCTTGCCAGTGATTGGCTTAGGGAAGACTGTATGACACAGTTCTGGCCAATGAGGTGTGAGAAGCTCACGTGACCCTGGAAAGGGTCTCCTTGCTCCGAGATGTTCAGGAAGCTGCCCTCCTTCTACCGGATGCTATCACCCTGCAGATGACAACAGGGACTGCAGCAGTGATCTCAGAGCCGTGAGGGAGCTGGCTGTGGACCAGGCGGACGCTGCGAGTATGGAAGAACAGAAGAAACCCCTTCCCCCGGGCCAGGATGGACCACCGGACCCACCCACCTGTCACCAGCCAGCCGCTGGCCTTCGTATCCAGGTGATTCACTTTCTCTCATTGTTAAAGCCATTTGGTCCATGGCTTTTTGTGACTTGCCCCCAAGAGCAGCATAGATCTTATAGGACAGCTGGAATGTCACTCTGCCGAAGGTGTCCCTTGAGTCATTTCTCATTTAAACTTGGCACTCCCTCACCTGCTCACTCTGCATCTTTGGGACACTGTTTGCCTCTGATTTACTGTGTGTGCGCCTGCGTAGACTGTAGTCACACTACGTCCCTATTGCCTACAGCATGTCACTTACAACAGTCCTATGGCGCATATCCCGTGACTCACCTCCTACTGGTTACAGTAGATCGCCCGACCTACCCAGCACTGTACAATTCACCTTTCAATACTTGGCACCATCTGAATGCTCCTGCTGGTTTTCTTGTTCTTGTCTTGGTTCTCCATCTGGAGGTGATCTGCTTGAGAACATGGACCCGTCCCCTTAACTGCTGGGTCTCCACGTCTAGCACAGTGCATGGCATACTGAGGTGTTCAACAGAGAGACACTGGGTGGGAAGAGGTCTCAGTGGTTTCCCCCGGGTGCCCCCATGAGAAGCACGCCTGGGCAAGAAGAGGAGGAGGAGCCTTAGACAAAGGCATCATGTCAGTCACATTCAGAAGAAAGAGACAGACCAGGAGGAGAAACAAAGGGCAAAGCTCAGGAAGCCGCAGGTCAGAGAGCCGATACGTTGGATTCCCAGCATGAATGTGGCCTTTGGGCTAGGAACTGAGATGTCTGTGTCATGTCACGTGTGTGTGTGTGTGTGTGCGTGTGTCGGAAGGGGACAGGAAGACACGACAGCAAGGTAGAGATCAGCCAGCCTCCCACCTCTCTTCTAACTGATACATTCAGGGCTCTCTGAGCCCCCAAAGGAGCATCGAACACCAAATACTGTGAATCCTCATATGAGAGGAGCTGAGGACGGGAACGTGGATGTTGGAAGCAGACGACCCCCACCATGTTAGTGTATGAGCGTGTGCGAGATGGCTTCTAAGTGTCACCTTGGGAAGGCTGCCTCCGGAGGTCAAT